GAAATGATGTTAAGAATTATCAGCATCACTAATAAATATTGCAATCCATAATTAGTGCACTTTTTATTGCTTACTATTTAAAAACAAATAATTTTTTATTAATTGGAAATTTTAGTTCTGTTACCTTCCTTTAGTTATTTATACTTTTAAACCCTGTCAATTCATGTTTTTTCTTAAATAGTGCTAATGTTGTTTGTTAGATTATTATTTCATTCTAGATACGAATACAGGAAGTTTATATTTTTTTAAATTATTAGCTTTAGTTATATTTTTGTTGATTTTTATTTGATCACATTTATTAACTATTTTATAGAGTCTTTCATTTGCATATCTATCTAGATATAAAAGTTAATGGTTATATTTTTACTATGAAACGCAAATAAATTTAGATTTGAGTTCAGGTAAAATACTGATTAGGTTACCTTACGCTTCCTAATTTATCTTGACAGGGGCAATTTTCATTGTCTTTGAGATTTAACAGAAATAAATGTGGTAATAATTTTATAATCAGAAACACTCTTTTTTTTTGCACACATATATAGCTTTACTTTTATTTATGCCTACTATTATTGTTATATATTTATAATAACCACTTTCATAATTACTCTGACTTAGATACTAAAGGATTAAGGGAAAAATTATGAAATATTAAATAATCGCAACTTAGAATTTAAGTTATTTAAAAAATATAGTTTAAAGTACTGAAAATAATTAAGGCTATTATTAATTATACATATTCAATCTAAAGAGAAATTTAAGAATATAGTTTAAAGTTCTGAAAATAATTAAAGATATTATCAATTATGCATATTTAGTCTAAAGAGAAAAAATTGTATTATCTTCTGGTTCTCAGGAAATGATAAAATATTTAAACTTTAGAAAAATACAAGGAATACAATATATATATAAAAGAATGAAAAATACATTAATTATTAAGTTTATTTTTCTGCATAAATCAATATGTAACACAAGGACGTCATAACGACGTTTTCACAACTGTTGCAAAAAGGTTGAATTCTGAGAACATTTAGGAGTCGTTAAGATGTCGTGATACGATGTTTTCACAACCAAAATATAACGTGATAAAGACGCAATAACGATGTCTATTCAACATAAACCTCATCTGTAAAAACGTAATAAAGACGTCTTTTCAACGGTTGCAAAACAGTGGAGTTTCGCGGACATCTGGGCGTCTTAAAGACGACATATTGCAATGTTTTTGCAACGACATCCGCGATCAGTTTGCAGCGTCGTTACGACGTCGCCGTGCTACTTGGGATATATACAGTGGATGGACAAAAATATGGAAACACCTTGTGAAATACATGTTTGAAAAGAAAGATTGATTTTAATGAAATATGTAGGTGGTGCTAGCGTTTTTGACTACTGACGCCACCTATACAACTTCGTAAATGTGCTAAACAGTTCAGTTGTTGTCAGAGTACTGTTATGTGAGATTGTCATTGCATTATGTCAGAGTTAACAGACTTCAAAACGTGGGCAAATTGTTGGAGCACGTATGGTAGGTGCTTCCGTAAGCAAGGTAGCCGAGGTGTTTTTAGTGTTTCAAGAGGTACTGTATCGAAGATTTATTCCGCATATTTGAAAAGCGGAAAAACATCATCTGCTAAATCACAGCGCGGACGAAAGTAAGTCCTGAGTGATCGTGACAGACGATCATTAAGGGCAATTGTGACGAAAAATAAGAAGACCACAGCTGCAAAAGTTACTGCTGAAATGAATGTTGTGTTACCGAACCCTATGAGTACCAAAACAATTAGAAGGGAGCTTCATAAATAGGGAATTGCTGGCCGTGCTGCAATTGAGAAGCCATTCATCAGTGATGCTAATGCCCGTAACAGGAAAAGGTGGTGTTTAAGTCATAAAGCCTGGACTATAGAGCAGTGGAAGCGAGTAATATGGTCTGACGAGTCTTCTTTCACATTGTTTCCCACTTCTGGCCGAGTTCTGTAGAACGCCATCTCAAGCTATAATACAGCCTGCTTGTTGCCAAGAGTGAAACATGGCGGGGGTTCTGTTATGGTTTGGGCAGCCATATCGTGGTTCTCTGCTAGCCCCATGATAACTGTGTCAGGGCACATGACTGCCAAGACTTATGTGAACATTTTGGCGGATCAAGTTCATCCCATGGTACAAACTTTGTTCCCCGATGGTTATGGTGTCTTCCAAGACGACAAAGCCCCTGTTCACACAGCTCACATTGTCCAGGACTGGTTTTCTGAGCACGTGGATGAGTTGTCCCATCTCCCTTGGCCACCACAGTCACCAGACCTGAATATTATCGAACCTTTGTGGTCTACATTGGAACGGAAAGTGAGTTCTCGTTATCCACCGCCAACATCGTTATCTGAACTTGCCACCGTTTGCAGGAAGAATGGTATAATATTCCCTTGGCAAACATACAGGAACTGTATTTATCCATTCCGAGAAGACTGCAAGCTGTTTTGGATGCCAACGGGTTTCCTACACCATATTAAGCAAAGAAACTTTTTTTTTAAAGGTGTTTCCATATTTTTGTCCAAACTCTGTATGTTTCTCGCATTGTGATAAAACAACGACACCTACAGCCATCATATTTTGAATAATGTAATCTTCCACTGAATATGGTCATCTGGAAGACCGAAATTTGAATTTTAAATTTGTTTTATTACGAATTCATATTTTGTAACACTTTAACGAATTTTTTTCATATTTTGTAACATTTTAACGAATGTTTTTCGCATTGTGATAAAACAACAGTACCTAGATCCATCACGTTTTGCATAATGTAATCTTCCACTGGATATGGGCATCTGAAAGCTCGAATTTGGAATTTGAATTTTTTTTTTTTTTTTTTTTTTTATTATCGATTTAATATTTCGTAGCACTTTAACGATCCAAGCATTTATGAAGATCTTAAAGCTTCAGATTTTATTTTTATTTAATTACTTTAGTTTTCATTAATTTTAATAGATAGCTTTTAATAAGATTGCGGAGCCTTTAATTAATTAATTTTTTAAGAACAAAGATTTTCAAGCACCTAAATTAAGATAAAAGTGTATACGTATTTATAATTTTATTTTTATTGTACCTTTTTACATTTTTTAAACATTTCATAAGTATTCTTTAGAATCAATCCCAACATTAGCACAAATAAAGAAGTCTGGTTTGGTAAACATTTAAAATTTATACCAAATGCATTTTAGCAACAGCTTTCTGGAATAAAATTATCTAATAAGCCAAGCATTTATGAGGACTGGCGTCTTTTGTAATTTCTTTAATACCGAGTTAACAGCTTTTATACACTTGCTTTCTTCATTTAAGTCCAGAATTACGCTCTAAATCTCCAAAGAGTTTTTATTGCCATGTAAAAACGTTAAAAAAACTTATTTGTTAAAGTATGGAAGTATCCTCGGGAGTGCAATTTGCAGATTATAATTTTCCGCTTCTAGGTTACTCTTAGAAATGGTATTTTGCTCTTGAAGCCGAGATCCAATTTAAACTTTTAAACTTTCTTGTGGGAATTCAGTTCTTTCATGCATATGAAACGTAATGATATGCATCCTCAACAACTTAACAACAACTGAGAACAGACATCCTTAACAACTTATTAGTGGTTTACAAGATAATTAGCTTTTTATAAAACATTCACTAGCTGATTCTGAAGTTAACAAGAATTAACAAAACTTTCGAAACATTTATTATTATCTGATTACTTCAGAAAATTTAAATTAAAGCAATCGTACTAAACGAATCTTTTAAACTGTTTCATCCAGACGTTTCATGAAATAACACGGATTCATAAATATTCTGACATATTTATAACGAATTTTAATTAAATTAATATATTTTACCTCTGTTGCGTGCATACGGGTTCGTAATAGATGGAATGCACACAGCTCCGCTGATAGGTTGATAAGATTTATTTTGTCGAAAGAAACACTCCATAGTTCTGGAATTTTCCACCAAAATAGTCGTACAATTTTTACAGTATCAACGTACAATGAGTAGTTACACTTCAAACTATTAAGAACGTTAATCACAACGCAAGCAAAGCACATCTAAAAGGTGAAGCTTTCAATATTCCGAAGTCGCTCAACAACTTAACAACAACTGAGAACAGACATACGAAAACAAATATACTAGTACATTATTGCTAGTTTATTGCAGGAAGCGCCATTTTAATAGCTGAGGGGTATTTAGACCCTTTTTACACGGCCGCCGAGATATTTCTCATCTTAAGATCTGAAGAAGATTGAGCATGTGAAGAATGAAAATATATTAAATCGATCACTATGACGGTAATACCTTCAGCTCCGTCTCTCTGTAAATCATGTCGTTTGCTGTGCTCACGGCTTATAAATGATTACGCACATATACATATATAAAACTGTGGATAATTATGTGATACTATGTTAGATACGATATTCAGTATTGAACAGCAATATTAAAATAAGTAATCTTAGTATTTATGTAAAAATATATAGAGGTAATTACATTTGTTAATTTGAAGTAGAATAGCACATTATCTCACCAAATTATATATATTGTTTCCACCTCCACGTCTTTTCTAAATTATTTTCCGATGCATTATGCTACACTAAAAGAAGGACATTCTTTATTTATAAAAAATATTGCGCAGATATCAAAAGTTTCGCCCACCCTAAAATCGAACATGTAATTTTTTTTTTTTTTCCCCAATCGTGTTCGAAAATTCAAATGGTTTAGCGATGCTGACGTTGCTAATTTTGATTAACTTTCGTGTATTTCAAGAACTGGGCTAAGTATTCCATAGATCGCCTTTTATATCTTCAGATATATATCTGCAGTTATATATCCCAACGTAAAATCAAGGGAGAGATTACATTTATAAATTAATGCCAGACTCAAAATCAACACATTTCGTATGGTTTTGTAACAATGAAAGGTCTGTCATCGAAACTGGAAATTTTACAACATTCAAAACTGAAATTAGATAGAAAATTTGATAAGTTACCTACAGTGTACTTCTAATTTCCAGCTGTCTTCAATGGCACTACCAGGTATCATGACATTATCAGCTTGGCACGATATAAATTTTCCGTGGTCTTCACTAGATGGCGTCATTGTTAGTATGCTAGTAGACACATTTCCTTGAGAGGACATTTTATCAACTGAGCTCTTCAGACGCATACTTCCTTTTCGCCAAGTCAGCAACGCAGGAGGTCTAGAACCCCTCGCTTCGCATTCAAATTGAACGATCTTCCCTGCAGAGAGTCTCTTTCTTTTCCCTCTGACGGTGACAGATACGGGTTTGACTGAAAGTACAAGAAATATTTACGCACCATTGCAGATACTACAGTTAATACATCAGAAATGTTATATTAAATCAAAACATATTCCCTCCTATTTAAATCGCATTTTTTATAAAATATATGACAAAAATATATTCTGCTTTATATATCAGTTTCAAGATTTGAGCTTTAATTAATATAGTAAAAAATTGCTAAATAATTTATATAGATTGGTAGAAATTCATAAATAAATTCATACATTTAAAGAAACTCTTCAGTAAGATGATAAATCAGTTACAAAATAAATAAATAAAAGACTGTTAGCTTCACGTTATGATAGCCTATTGCTCGATGTTTTTCACTGAATACAATAAAAGTAGGAAGTTGCATATCACATTTCCCGATAAGTAGGAAAATAAGAGATAAACTGTGATATTTATATTCTGGGGTCTAATACTCAGTCAAAGTTTAGAAATTAGAATTCTCAAGTCTTTTAGAAGTTTCCTGCATGGAAAATAGAAATACACGTTTCTTGCATGGAAAATAGAAATACAAGTTACTATGTATAAGTAAGCAGATTTTTCTTCATTTCGTAACCCAAACAGCATTGCGAAAAATACATCTGTTGCTTTTATCAAAATATCTATTTCTTGTATGTTACCCGTCTGATCACTGACAGAAAATATCTGATTATCTTAATATTAGAATTATAATATGCCAGAACAGTGTATTAATACTATCCGAGAGTTTCCTAGTTTTGTTGCCGATGGAAACAGGCAGCAAATTGGAGTCCACTGAAGGTATTTTTTCCTACTTTGCTTAGATATCGTACAACGGACCAGGAAAGAAGAGTGATTTCTAATCTATGTGACCTTGGGCTTCATAAGAGAATTTGGCCTTGCACTCTGAAGATGATTCTTCATTTCAATTAATATGATTGCTTGCAACTGGTAGAAGAATTGAAGCTATAGCTTAAGAAGCAAAGATTTCTTATAATTTGGACTTTTTGCTGTATTTAAAATCACTGCCATGTTGTCGGTAACATACCGCCTTTTGGCGTGAAATCTATTTTCATCAGTGTTACCAAAGATCTGACAAAAACCCGAGATGTAGCATTTTTTATTTACCACCAAGGTAAAGATTCGCTTACATTTACCTGAAGGAAAAAAATTAAATAATACCTTAATAATCAATGCTAGTATTTTTCATATTAAAAAACGAACCGTTTTAACCTATGTTTTACTCTGTCTAGGTTTAAATATGTAAACATCAATTCTGTATTAATAAATTTTAATTATTTTCATAACAAGATTTTAACTCACAATTATAAGGACATTTTCGGCCATCTTTAAATTATGTATGCCTAGATGGCAATCAGTCATCTAATCATCTGTTATCGATTAATATAGAATAAATGCGTATGATTATCCAAATCTTTTTTGGAAAGTTTAAGAAACTTTTCTGCTGATAATCCCTTGAACTTATCAATATCGAAATATCTGATTACAAAAATGAAAAAACAGATCAGCATTTTAATCACTTTATTATTAAACACATTTATTATTAAAATGTTACATTTTACAAATGTTGCCACAGGGTGACAGAAGGGTGTATTGCAATTTAAAACTTCATTCAAAATATTTCTTTTTTACGTTTATTCAAATTACACTCATAGCACTCACACTTGAAATAGAAAATATTGGAGACTTTTTTTACAAAAACTGGGAGAAACTAATGAGTTTGCTTACTGTGTGGTGATGGGATTTCAAGAGAACACAAGACTTTCAAGAGAAGTCTCTTAAATTCATTTTATAGTCCATGATTCTAATTTTTGAATTATAATGTGATTCTGATGTAAAGTATGTTAGAATTCAATTAAATACTTTTAATTTTATATTTTGGACTAATTTCATTTCATTTCGTTATTTTCTTACATATTTATAGTGACATAATCCTCAGTAGAGAAGAAAGCTCTTATTTACAAAAGTTCTTAAACGCGATGAAAATTGATGTTTATGCAATTACGTAGATAAATTTTGGAAATGTACAATTATTGATGAAAATCATAATAATAAAGTGCAAATATTAATCGAATAAACATTGGTTGAGTCTCCTAAAAATTTCTACAAATGTCTAAAGTACATTAAAATAATTTAAATCTGTTGAGAATTATTAAAGAATATTATGCATAAAACATTTAGGAATAGGGTACGAAATCTGTGCAATTTAAATTTCCTTAAAAGATTAAAATACTGCTGCTAAAGCACTTTCAAGAACATGCCATCATATGTTTTTTTTCATCGCAACCTGTTTTTCCTCAGTATTTAGTGAATTCCAATTTTTTTTTTTCCTAGAGATGCAGGTGAAGGAAGTGATTTAATTTCCGCCGTTATTTTTCTCACTTGTCTGAATGTTTCTTCACAATTACCAAGAGGAGTAGTCAAAACTGTTAGCGCAAACTACAGACAAATAAAACAAATAAGATAAATACATGTAGGGAGCGTAATTTGGTGGGTCCCCCTTTCAGTATAGAAAGAAACATGAATGATGATTTAAAAAAATTAAGAATAAAATGTATACATGATAAATCTTTAATTATTTATATTTAGAGTATTTAAGATACTGTTTTTAAATAACAGGAAAAATATGGGTATAATAATTGAAAAATTTCTGATTTAGTACTACAAAGGCCCACCAGCGGCCGAGCGGTAAAGTCGCTGAACACTGGTAGTTCGGTCCGAGGTTCGAATCCCGCGAACGGGCTGGCTGCATGGGTGTTTTCGTGGTTTTCCCCATGTGTAACGTGTATACGAGCCAGTTTCCCTTAGAAAGTCCTCCACGAAGGCATCCCTCCCCTTAGGCAGATAGCCCTCGAGGCTTTGCCATAATCACACACACACACACACAGTACTACAGAATGCATCACTGCATAGTGTGCGCGAGCTATATACGTACACTGCGGGGAAAAAAATGGGGCAGTTCTATATCTCCTGTTCTACTGGGCCGATTGACGAAATTCAACCTGCGTTTTTTTAGTCTCGAAACCGCGACTTAAGATATGTATTACATTTATATATTGCATTGTTCTAATATAGGTATTTTGACATAAAACCGGACTTTTTCTGAAATAACATACCACGTTTTTTTTTCCCTATTTCAATTCTACGACTCAAATTACGCCAAACTACCAAGTTTTGTAAAAATCTCATGAGTAGCTCTTAAAAATCTGGCACTCAAAATTTTAGCTCCTCAGTGTTAATTGAGTTTGGTATATATTGATTAATCTCTCTTATTTTATTAAACTTATTTGATTCCTCCTTTCACGTTTCCAAATTCAGGTTCATTCCAAGTAAAATTAACCAATTTTTTTATGATTTATTTTAAAAATTTGTATTTTTAAATAATTTTTATAAACTTTTCAAAAAAATCTTGAATTATAATCTATAAAAGTTTGGCCAGCATTTTAAAGTAGATGTATTTCTAAGCACACCTGCAAAAAATTACAGTTTTTTATTCAAAATTTCCGAAGATGTATGTGAATTTATATAATGGCGCGTTTTGAAATTTGGCATATTTGTGGAAAGCGATAAAACATCTAATGTGGTTTATACACTTTGCTAAAAGTATTTGTAAGTAGGAAAGATGTGACTTTTTTTCCGTTCATGCTCAATGTAAAAAGGTAGGAAAGAGCGCCATATTTTCCGCTACGGCATAATGGGCGGGGAAAGACAAATTGGTTCCCATATATTAAGAAGTTCGCGAAGTGAATTATTAATGGCGCAAACTGAAAAAAAAATGCGCCAAGATAAATTTCTTAATTTCTCCCTAAATTTCGCACCAAATTTTAGAAAATTTTATATCTAGGCATATTACTAGTCGTAGAATCAAAATATGGAAAAAATATTCGTATGTTATTTCAGAAAAAGTTCTATTTTGTGTCAGAATACCTACCTTACAACAATGCTATATATAAATCTAATATATATTCTAAATCGCGCTTTCGAGACATGAAAAACTAAATTTGAATTTTGTCAATCGGCCCAGAAGGACGGATGATATAGAACTTTTTTTTCTTTTCTTTTTCGCAGTGTATATATGTAACAGTTTCAAATAAGCATCTTGTGCACTGTGTTCATTTTTCATACGGCACTAATTATAATCCTTGAATGTGTTTCCTTTACTGCACTCTTCCCGGAGTTTTGAGATTCAAATACCGTTGCTTATCAGTGTCGGATAAGGGGGCATTTATGAGAAAAAATTCATGAGAGAGATTTTTCACCCTGTAGCTTGCAAAATCTACCTGGAGTTTATTGATATTGCTAACCTTAATATTTTCAGCTTTATATAAAGACGAAATTAAATTTTCACAGAAGAAACGAAATGCATAGAAATTAAACACCGGAGGATTCTGTTACCTAATAGGGTACCGCGATATATGATGAAAAACCGAAAGTTGTCTGGACAGCCGGGTGAGTTGACAGCGATGTATAAATGAATGATATTTTATGTAAAAAAATGTCAAGTCGTCTCGCAAGTTAATGTCAGAGATTTCATTTAAGACATTTTAAGCAGAAAGATTGGGGAAGCCCAAAATATCTGTGTAATAAATCAAGAGCTACACAAACCAGGTAAAATTCTATAGGGATATAAAGTACAAAAGGTATTAAGGTGAAATCTATGTTTAACTTTACCCCTCTGAAAAACGCTAAGATTACTATCAATAAAACTAATAATAACTCATAATAATTTAACTAATAATGAAATCATTTCGATGGGTTAAATCTATCATTAAGTTATACTAATATGTTTGAAAAATCATAATATTACTAAAAAAATTAAAAATTTTGCTCCATTAATACTGAAGATAAAGTAACATTACATTAGAAATTTAAGGTTTAAAATTTGTTTTATTTATATAAAAATAAAACTAAATATCTCATTAAAACATAAAGCATTACATTTAATAAAAAGAACTACGCTAAATGAAAATTAAACTTATTCCTGATAATTTCAGCTATTTTCCG